TCCAGTGATGTCATGTGCAGGGACAGCAGTGGTGTGAGAACAAGAAGGAATAAAAGTACTCAATTTGTCAAGGTATAAATCTCCTGTAAATCCATAGTGTAAAATGTAGGAATATAAAAGAGTATGGATTAACAAAAGGCCAATAATTCCAGAGATTCCAGATTTTAGCACCTGCAGAAAAGTATTATCAGGACATGCCAATCTCCGAGTAAAAGCTCTGGAAAATTTATCTGTTGCAATTGTTCAACTTTGATCTGCTCTCTTCAGAAATTTCTTCATCACTTCTTGTCTCCAGTTCAGCAGCTGAGAATCCCACTGTATCCCGTTTCTCATCTGTCCCCATCTTAATTCAGGAATCAGTAGTGATCAGAGGAGTAAATACCTGCAATAATTGGGTCTACGATGTGGTATGGGTAAGCCAGTATGGTCATTTGGGCTTGGGTTTCTCTACCAACGAGAGTCGTTGAAGCAAAATCCACATAACTTTAAAAAAGGAATTAGACTAACACCTGAAAAGGAAAAAAATATAAAGGGATGCGGGCAAAAGGCTGGAGAGTTTACACTCTCTTAAAGAGAGCCAGCACAGGTACGATGAGGTGAATAACCTTCTTTTATACTGAAACATTTTATGATTCTGTGTGCAAATATGAATGTAATACACCATGTGTGAACACATGTGTAATGTGTAACGACTGTTTGTGGGACATTGCTGTGCGCAATTGGCTGCTGTGTTTGCCCACAAATATACAGTCAATTCACTTTACAGTGTGTTCTGTGAAGCGCTTTGGGACGTCCTCCCGACGTGAAAAGCGCTACATCAAATGCAAGGATTATTATTATTATTATTAATATGTATGTCAATTGTAAACATGCGTAAAGAGGAATTACAGTTCCCTTTAATTACATAATTAACCACTGAAAATGACATGATGTAATTAACCAATAATAAATCCCAGAGGAAAAAGCAAGTCTCCAAACACAGGCATTCTGTGAAGTGCTTTGAGATGTCTCAAAGATGTGAAAAGCCGCTATATCAAATGCAAGGATTATTATTATTATGATTTGTATACCCAACAGGTAAGGAAACCATAAGATGACCATAAGATGGCAATAATCCTTTAAATGGTTACAGTCATTGAGATGTATCAAAGCGCTTTACAGAATATACTGTAAAGTGAGTTGATTATATGTTTTGTGGGCGGCAGCAAATTGCACAAGCAGTGTTTTTGTTCAGTCACAAGGGATTTTCTACATTCTACAAGTTCTCAATCTAAAAATACATAACTGGCATTTATGTAGATCATCACTCACCGTGGCCTAACATGTTTTGAGCAGTGCACTTGACAGGATAACTATAAGTCACAAATAGGTGCATTCAGATCTACCTGGAAATCCTTTGCTTAATGAACCATTCAAAGTCAGTCTGAAAACTGCACTTAACAGAACAATGATTCTGAAAGCTCAATTCAAAAGGAGTTTACACTATAAATGCTTCAGAGTGGCACAAACATCTGCAAGTAATTGTCATACATGTACAAAGGTTTTCAATAAACTAAGGGACTTGCAAAACAGAACGTTTTTACACAAAATGCAAAGTTGCTCTTAGCTTTTTGAAACATCCTGCCGAAAATGATAAAGATCTTATTCTCATTATATTAGCAACAAAATATAATAAAATCTAATTTTATTAAAATGTTCAAGCAATTTAAAACAACTATTTGCCAGTTTTCTCCACCCCCTCCTACACTAATGCTCTCTATGGGTCTCAGGCTCTCACTGGTATCTACCTCACAGTGGAAGGTGCTGCGGCTGAACCAGACCCTATTCTCACTAGAAATCTGCACACAGCACTTTGCAGCAGATATCACTGGATAGCAATAAGAACTGAGAGACTTTGGCTGATTTGACCTTTAAATAACAAAACATGCTTTTTGTAGTAAGAACTCAAGAAAGATCGCAGCATGCAATTAATTGCAACCTGCTGTCATCTGTTGCCATAAATTATTCATTCAAACCTACCTTTGTTTGGGAGTTAATCTATTAAAAGTGTTTCCAGTTCTCAGAGGAGAATTACTGAAATAAGACCAGAGCGTAGCAAAAGCCTTTTTTTTGAAAAAACACAGAACTAGTTTAAAGTGTAGTCATTTTAATAATGGTCTGCAAGCAAACAAAATGGGTTCTAGAGCTCTCGATTACGTTACTGATTAATAGTGACAATCCCTAAAAGGGAACTACAGCAACAGCTTAAGAGACAGAATGTTATTCGAAACAGTCCACAGTATCGCTAATCTCTGAATCAGCTATGAAACATAGGCAACTGTCAACCCAATGATTATCTGTCTGCAATTTGATTTGCTTTATGAATGTGCTCTTGGGAATCGATAAGCAATCTTGTCACAAAAAGGCTGAAAGGGGCAAGGGGAAGATAAAAGCAAATCAAATATTAACCTTTTTTCTTCTGAAAAATAATGATGTTTAGAGTTTAGTGAAAGGGCAGAACAAACCATGCAGTGGAGCATACAAAGCCACTCATAAATAGATCATCCATTTTCATCCCTATTTACTCAGTGTAGTGATGGTGTACTAGTCTTTCGGTCCTTTGTTGAGCAAATACACCAACTTATGTTTCGAAACTGGTTATCATAGACATAAAATGCCTCTCTCTACACATGGTCCCCAAATCAAATCTGTAGTTAGTCCCAATTCAGAGACCCCAAAACATTCATCCTCTCCTTGAGTCTCCGCAGGAATGTTGGGATGTCATAGATACAACCTATAACTTATCACTTCAGGACAATCCATCGGAGCACCGAAAAGATTGAACTCTGTGCCAATTCTTACATAAAAACAATGGTTACATTTGATATTGCACGTTTCATATTGGGAGGATGCTCCAAAGCACTTCACAGGATATACTCTAAAGTATAATGACTGTATGTTTGGGAGTGAATACAGAGCCAATTTGCACACAACAATGTCTCACAAATAGCCAGGAAGTGAATGACCAATTTGGGAGATTGTTAGCCAGGGCAATGGGAGAAAATCCCTTCTCTTTTTGAATAGTGCCATGGGATCTTTAACGTCCACATGAACAGGCAGATGGGGCCTGTTCAACGTTTCATCCAAAGGATGAAACCTCCAACAATGCAGAATACCCAAAGCACTGCACTGGAGTGTCAGCATAACACCGTATGAGTTCCAAGTCCTCACAAACTTCTGGCTCAGTGGCAAGAGTGCTACCACTAAGGATGGCACTTCTGTTAACGCAACACTTTGCCAGCATTTGATTCGAGTGTCAGCCTAGACTGTGAGCAAAGGTTTAGACTTGGAGCTTGAACCAGAAGTTTCTCTTCTGACTCAGAGGATAGAGTGTTACCATCTGAGCCAAATGTAGTACTATCAGTTCAGATATGTTATTCCTGCAGCAATCTGTATGGTGGAATGATCAGCATTGATGAAGCAGTTATAAATGGCACTCTTAGGAAAAGTGCCTCAACCCAAACTAGAGTTCACTGTAGAATTAACTATTAGGTATTGGCTAATGCCTTAGCAGGACAGTAGAAAATGGCATCTTAAGTTCAGGGTATCATTGCTGTAATTAAAGTAAAAACTTCACTTCAGGTTTGAACCTATATGCCTTGGCACTTTGCTATTTTTCTCAATAAAGAAGTTAATGCACAATTTAAAACATCACTTATTCTCTGCATGGTTAGTTGTTTTTTAAATACCTGAGATCAAACAGTCTTAAACCTGGAACAAAATCTATATTTGTGTCTCTAAAACTGCCTACGTGTGTTTGTGTGTGTCTCTCATCCAGTTTTTACTTGGATTGGATAGCTGGCTCAGTGACCTGCTGAAGTAAACAATGTACCTGATAAACCAAATGCAAAATACTGCAGATGCTGGAAATCTGAAACAAAAACAGAAGTCACTGGGAACACTCAGCAGGTCAGGCAGCATCTATGGAGAAAGAAAAGTGAGTCAACGTTTCGGGTCCACGACCCTTCATCAGAACTGGGGCACGTTGAGAGGGAGAGGCTTTTAGGGGCTAACAAAGAGGGGGGAGGTAGGGAAAGGAAGGAAAAGGAGAAAATGGAGTTAAATTGGGTTTTACTGTAGTGCTCAGATTAGCTGATGATGTGTTGGAAAAATGACAATGCTTGTATGAGATTAAGTCATTCGATAACACCATACAGCACCTTTTACATGGGAAGGACTGTCGAGAGTTAACTGTGCCCCACTCCCAATGCAGAAGAATCTATCAGGAAAACACATTCTTAGAGCCACACATTAAGTTCCAGGAAGAATACTGCAATATAAAAAAATGTCTTGAGGTGAGATGAGAGAGTAAATTATCTACTGTAACTATGTTAAACTCTATACTCACTTGACCCAAACAGAATGGGAAGGAAATTACAATTTGCAGAGAATTAAAAAAATTGCTGTAAGAGATACCAAATTTGAGTCTAATGAGATCTCAATTGGTGAAACCAGAATACTTCAGGTGTTTTAACTATGCTTGAAAATGTTTGAGTATGTAAAGGTCTTTGGTACACAATGTCATAAAACATGCTGACAAGCAATTATTAACAATAAGCCCTCTGGTCACGCATACAAGAGCAACTCCCCCCAACCCCTCACCCCCAAAGTCAATCATTGATAAAACAAGAGGAAAAAACAGTAATATTAAAATGTCATACTCTATCCACCATGTCATTTCACTATGAATCAAAAGGCAAGCAAATTAACCCCGTCCTTCAAATCTGTTGTAAATGATAAAGCAGTCTTTGTATTTAGTAGCTAAAGTACAACTACTGATGAAGTCTAAGCGCCAAATTGCTTTATGACTGGAATAAATGATGACACAACACAAGGTGATGCTAGTAAACAACCATTTCACGATTAATACCACATCACTGAGACATCTCAAAGTGCTTCACAATTGGGCCTCAGCATGCCCTTTGTAAATTGCATATCCTTGTAACAATATGAAGGAATACCTCTCAGACTTCTTGTTCCTCTGCAGTGTGCCACTTCGTCGCTTGGAAGTTTCAGTCATTTGTTGATAACCCTGAAGCTTTGTGCGTCTGGTTCCCTTCTTGTGATTTTCTTTGCAGTTCTCAATTTCACTTCCCGAACTGTGATCAATATCTCGCTTTGCTTTAAGTGTGCTTGAAGCAGTTGGAACCTTAAGAATTAAGATATCTTGCATGAGCTGCGTTTTCTCTACTACTCAGGGTTCTTGAAATATTGATTTTAAAAAGCCAATTCAAGTACGATTAGACTGAACAGTAATGTGACTCCTGGTTGTAAAGTAACCATTAAATCAAAGTGAAATCCATATTATCATAGCAATTTATCATCAGTGCTGTAAACCGCGTTTTGAGAAGTCTTCAAGACGTGATAAAGTGCTATATCAAATGCAAGGATTATTATTATTAAACATTGGTATACTTGCTCAGAAAGCTAATGTTTTTCCCCAGCCACCTTGCAAAAAAAAGTATACATATGGCTGAGCTCTGATTGTGCCTCTTTTAAAAAATTAACTTTTTAAAAAAAACATTACATTTGTATAGCACCTTTCACATTGGGAGGATGTCCCAAGGCAAATACAGACAGTATTTCGGACCTGAGCTGGGGGTCAGGATTGGTGAGGGTGGAGGCGGGGGGGGGGGGGGGGAGGAGGTTGATCGAAAGCACAGTCGAAGAGGAGGGCCTTGAGGTGGTATTTGATGGAGGCAAGGGTTAGGGCGAGCGGAGGAACTGTGGAATGGAGTTCCAGAGGGTGGGGCAGAGTGGCTAAAGGCATGCCCACCAATGGTGGGGCAGGCGAGGCGGGGATGTGAAGCAGGCGGGAGCCCGCTGAGGGGGGAGCGGGCAGGATGGTAGGGGGCTAGGAGGTCGCAGAGGTAGGGGGAGCAAGGCCATGGAGGGTTTTGAAGGTGAGGACCAGGATCTTGAACTGCATCCTCGGTGTGATGGGAAGCCAGTGGAGTCAGGCGAGGATGGGGTGATAGGGTCACGAGCCTGGTACGGGAAAGGACAAGGGCTGCAGAGTTCTGGATGATCTGCAGCCTGTGGAGGGAGGAGTTGGGGAGGCCGACAAGCAGTGAGTTTGCATAGTCGAGCCTCAATGTTATGAATGCATGTATGAGGGTTTTGGCGACCTGTGGTGTGAGACAGTGGAGGAGCCGAGCAATGTTGCAGAGGTGGGGGAAGGCAGAGCGGGTCATGGCGCAGATGTGGGGTAGAAAGGACAGTTGAGGGTCAAACAAGACCCCGAGGCTCTGGACTGGCTTAGAAAGGTGGAGTGTGCAGCCATGGATGGTGATTTTGTCAGCGCCTGAGGTGTGGAGGCGCTGACAGGAGCCAATCAGGAGATTCAGCCTCGGTCTTGTTTACGTTCAAGTGTAGAAAGTTAACTCTCATCCAGTACTTGATGTCTGACAGACATTCTGTCAGGACAGCAGTGGTCCTGGAATCGAGGGTGGAGGCAGAAAGATGCAGTTAGATGCCGCAGACATGGGGTCAACATGTGGAACACGTGTTGACCCCATGTCTGTGGATGATGTCACCGAGAGGGAGCATGTAGGTATTGAAGAGGAGGGGACGGAGCCCTGAGGAACGCAGCACGAGACGGTGCAGGGGCTAGAGAAGAAACCATTTGTGGAGATGAAGCAGTGGAGATGATGGAGATAAAAAATACCTTTTTTAAATGAACACAACTGTGAAAGGGGTTCAGAATGACATGGCAACACTGAATGAGAAAACATACCTAAATTAGGGCTTCTACTTTACCAATATTTATTTTAGCACTGGGTTTCAATTCACCTTACATTGTGCACAGGGATGAGAAACCTGCAATGTCAGTTAATGGCCAAGGAATGAGATAGTCTAAACGCCCCCGCAATTCTATGTGTCGCCACTTCAGGGTTATTATGCTTTGTGTTCAAATATAGTGACCCTATCAATACATATAATGGAAAAATCATATTAAAAAATGAACATCAAAAGATTTGCTATGGTTAAGAACAATGTAGAATAAAAGCAAATGTGGCTACACAAAGTTGCATGAAATTTAGAACACCTTATTTATTCCTTGTTTTTGGAAAAAAATTCCCAGCCCTATTATTTATACACGCTTTATTTTTATTAAAAAATAGCATTTTGATGGCTGTAAATAATTACTTCTCGTCATTGTATAAATGAAGGTTAGCGAAGCTTTCACTGTACTTGTACTGAAAAAATCCCATTAAAAATGAACATCGAAAGATTTGTTATGCTTAGGTTGCAGTATATAGAATAGCTCTAATGTTGTTAACATTATTAGAAAGCAGTTTCATAAACTTCTTTTTTTGAACTAAAATTAATCTACCCATCTCAAACCAGGTTGTAGAAAGTAATAAATATTTCCAAATCTCCAAATGTCAGAGACAGGGTTTATGTAAACGATTCAATATGTGCAGATGCCTAACTGATACCTTGTTCCAATGACTGGCTGAGATTACAATCTCACTGTAAGCAGAAAATTACTGGTGGAGTGCCAAGCTTTACAGCTCTTTGTGGTGCAGCACATTTTTTACTCATGTACCACATATTGCTGATTCCATCTGCTATTCTTTTTAAATAGATATACCTCAGTGGTACAATAAACCAAATGCAGGCTACGGGTTTGAAGTTATAAGGCAAAGCATTTCCCTGTAGAAATTATCTGCGTCATAACGATGCTTTTGGCTTTCTAGCAAATATTTTTGCACAGAAAATTTGGGTCAACAAATCACTACTATAACACTGCTAAAGTAGCATTCATTATAAGGGGATCTTCCTAATTTAAAAGTTCTACAGTCTGCCCTCTGCTATCCTAGACTACATTAAAAAATAATGTGCACTACACTTTAAAAAAATATGTTTTTCACCTTTTACTTTCAGAAAGCAATCTTTCATGAGTTAAATGTATGAAAGAGCTGTAAGATTTTACTGGCAGAACTGAATCTGTGTGCTTTTATTCCCTCATCCTCTAATCTTTAATCCATTAATGACAACCTTGAACACATAGCAGTCTGAAGCAATTTCAATGCAAATTGCAACCAGTGCTTAAAATGAAAGACCAAAGGGGAGAAAAAGGCATATATAACCAAAACAGGAGTATTTGCTCTAAATTAGTGCAATTCACGTCTTATGTTGCATACATCATCATTCAACATTTTTGCATCATTTGAAAAACAAACTTCTCTCCCCAAACCCCCACAAGACAATGTTTGTGAACTGACATTTATTACTCACTATAAGTTCCCACATATTAAGAATTTCATTGAAAATCATGCTGATGCAAAAAACACACTGAGGACTTTAATGCTCAAAATCAGTAGGTGTCAAAATTTGAAAGTTATTTACAATTTTAATTTCTCACACGTTTAAGATAATGCATTTGTCTACAGCATCCCATGCAACATTCTGTGCAGAAATGGGAACCTCTAAAAATAGGTTTTGCTGTGAGGAAACACCCAATAATCACTGGGTAAAACAATTATATAATAGTGCACAGCACAAAAAAAATCCCTGAGATTTACAGTAGAGCCTTTTTTTAAAAAAAGTTTTAATAAATACCATGAACTCTGAAGTATTTGATAATACAGAAGACCACAACATTTGTAACATGCTGAAATACCCTCAATTTAATTTAAAACAAGAATCAAAATCTAAAACCCTCGAGTCCACGGTTTATTGCTACAGCTTAGCTCCAATTATTTTTTGACAAAGGATTTAAAATTCAGAAATTATGTGAAAATGCACAAGTCACATCTCCAATTTGCCATAGAATGTGCAGCTTATATTCCAATTTTAAGCCACCTTTGGAATTACAATGATGAATACGAGCACGCTCAAAGAACATTCTGGTTAGTATGTTAATCTACGTTACGTGAAACTGCAACGTTAAACCAAGGATATGCTGCAATGTTAAACCAAGGACATTTCCTTTAGAATGCCACCCTTCATGTCAATCACCTGTTGTAACAGTTGAGAAATCTGTTGCTCCAGTTTCTTTATTCTTATTTCATTGTACAGACTGACAGCAGTTTTAGTCTGTTTTGGTGAAGAACTAGCCTCAGTGTCAGACATTGTTGCTGCAGGATCAGGTACTGTAGTGCGCTGGTGATACTGAGCAAGTACCTCATCTATTCGTGGAGTGGTCAACTGAGGTTCTACCGAAGCCTATTTATTAAGATTGAAAAGAAAAACATACAAACTCCATAATAAAACATTAGAAAATTGCTTTGAACATATAATATGAAAAATGTAATCTGGAATAAAAAATAACCATTCTGATTTTACTTCAATTTTCAGGCCAGGATGCCAGCCCCTTCCCATTGAAGCGTGACTAAGATCAGGCATTCAGCAGAATGGAGGAAGCTGAAACTATTCCATCTCTCTATGGTCACATAGCAGTACTTTTTTTCTACTCTTTCTCTGGATGTGGAGGGGTGCTGGTATTTTGCTTGGGGGCTTCTGTTTAAATCATTGTAGTGCTTAAACAACACTTTCAAAATTAAACTGTTTGATCAAAATCTCGCAATATATCAGGAAAAAAATCCTAATTATTTCATTTGATATTGGGCCTCTCATGTTAGGAAGAGCTCTCAAAGCGTTCACAGATTTATTATAAAGTGTAGTCACTGTGTATTTTGTAGGTGGACTGCAGCAACCAATGCAGAAAATAAATGACAGTCTTTTGACCTGCCCAGTTTCAATGGCAAAGATCAGTGTAACTGTGTTAATCATCTCCTATTTGCGAGACCAGCATTTACAAGCACTGCCTCTTGACAGCGCTGCAACCAACTACCACAGTAGAAAGCAGTCTTCGATCAGCAAAGTGTAATACTTTCTCATGTTTTCCATACACTGAATTTTCAAACTTATTTCAACAAAATCAAAGTAAATAAAATTCAAGCAAGGCTTTTATAGTTCAAATGATAAACAAATAACTTTAGTCTCAAGAGTGAATTAAGTCAATTTATATTCTCAGTACAAATATCTGAGCTCAAGAGGATTTGCACTCACCGAGAGAACTCGGCACAAGAAAGTGTACAAACTTTTCGTTTTCCAGGCTACTTTTACGTGAATGCATAAAATGCATATATATTGTTTGTACTGTTTTAACTCCTCCAAGACTGAGCAAATCAAAATTAATATTTAAGATATTTTGATTTTCTGCCCAATATAACATTTATGATATCCTCAAAGAGAGACATTTTAGAGGCATTGGACAGAAACGGCAAATCCATAATAATAATCCTTGCATTTGATATAGCGCTTTTCACGTCTTCTAGACATCCTAAAGCGCTTCACAGAATATACTGTAAAGTGAATTGACTGTATATTTGTGGGCGAACGCCATAAAATAATCATAAAACAAAATAAATAAAATAATCATTTTAGTGTTGAAAAGACAGCAGGAGAAGAAAGCACAGGTTCAGGGTTGTGAAGCACTTTGCATGAGAGAAAGATTAGTTTACACAGAGGGCAAATCAATAGCTTTATACCAGGGGAAATGGTAAAGGTCAGAAAATTGTAATTTTATGAAACAACTTGATGCCATAATGGGGAAGGAGGATACAGCCTTGTTATAACGTGGTTCACTGGGGATAAGTGGAAAAGGCAGTTTCCCTGCATATGCTTGCAGCCAGCTCGTGCCCTATGTGCTCGATGCTTCCCGCGCTGATTTCCAGATCATCAGATTCTTGTTGACATCACTTCCTTCTTTACACATCCACAGCAAATGGGAAGTGATGTCAACTGGACCCTGTTGGCCTGAAAGTTGGCCTTTATTTTATATGGGAGTTAAAATAGCCAACTTCTGGTCATTAGATTGACATTGGTGTCACTTCCTGCTTTGCACCTGCTCAGCCAATAGGAAACGACGTTGGAATGACTCGGAAATCAGTCATTGTAGCGCAAAATCTGTCTGGTGTGCAGGAATCCTGCAGTGGGACGCACACTTGCACGGTGAATGGGGTCAACAGTGCTGAATTGGCAATACAACAAAGTATGTCATAATGTGGCTGCAGTGCAATTTGGAAGGATGAGATTAAATGGGACAAAAAATCTTCTCATGTGATCACAATTAGTTATTATAATAATATTGCACCTTTCATGTCGTTGAGACATCTCAAAGCGCTTCACAGGATATTCTGTAAATTGGAGTGACTATATATTTTGAGAGCGATTGGATTGACCTGAGCTAGAATTCCCCACAGAGCATATTCTGTAGCTCAGTGGTTAGAGCGCTCGCATTGCAAGCGAGAGACCGGAGTTCAATTCCAGGCAGGGAGAAACCTTGGGCAAGTTTCCTTACTCCACACGCCTAATAATAATCCCTCCAAAAAAACAAATTAATAAATTGGTCATTTTCAATCCACGACTGTTTGTGGGACACTACTGTGCGCAATTGGCTGCCGCGTTTGCCCACAAATATACAGTCAAATCCACTTTACAGTCTATTCTGTGAAGCGCTTTGGGACGTCTAGAAGACGTGAAAAACGCAATATCAAATGCAAGGATTATTATTATATGAATGGAAGGATATCAAACTGAAAGTGACAATTCAAGCAATCCCTCATGATGGTCAGCAGAAGCCTCTTGGCACACTCACGTCAAGAAACAGGATCCTGAAGAACAGTGGTAAAAAGGGAGCTGAATAAACAAAGTGCAAACCTTTTCTGGATTTACACTGGAGTCTGATGATACCAAATACTCTGCATAGTCCTCCAAACCAGGTATATCTAAGGGGCCTCCTTCACTTGAATGAACACGTTTACCAGAATGACTTATCCCGTCAAGTAGAGCCAGTTGGGGTAAAGATTGGAGCAAGAGTTCTCTGTAACCTGGAAACGTTAAACACAAATAAAACCAACAGGAGATGACTTCTAAATACCAACCATTCTCAGTGAGATAACATGGTCTCTTAAAAGTAAAAAAAACTCATGATAACTTTACAGAAAAGCACTTAAACTTCTAAGAATAAATTGTTTAAACACTGATTCATATTCAAAGTAATCCTAGGATACCAAAAACTGGAGTTGAAAACTGTCTGGGGTCACAATATACTTTGTAACCTAAAAGTAATCAGATGGGTCAGATACACTGAATTTCCATTTCTAGATGCTACCTCATTTTATTATAATATTCCTTGCATTTGATACAGCGTCTTTCACTTAGGGAAGATGTTTCAAAACACTTCACAGGATTTACTAGTGTAATGACTTGTTTATTTTAGAAGAACGCAGCAGCCCATTCATACACAGCAATGTCCCACAAAATGTGATAAATTGAAGAACCAATTTTATTTGGGGATTGATTGCCAGAGAGAGAAACTGCCTTCTCTAATACTGGTATGGAATCTTTGCGGTCCACTTAAACAGGCAGAGTGGACCTTGGTTTAACGTATCATTCAAAGGAAAGCACACTTCAGAATTGCATTGAAGTGTCAACCTAGACTATGTGAGTTCAATGTCCAACATTGGGCGTGAACCCACAAGCTTCTGATTGAAATGTGAAAATGCTTCCAACTGAGCCAGACTGACATTTTGGTACATCAAATACAGAGAGTACCTCAACCTGAGATGTTAAACAAAGCAAAACATGCACTCCTGTGATGTTTAAGAGTTGTTTGAAATGCAAGGATTCGAAATTAACATGTTGGAAAATTATTTTATTACTTATTATTTAACTACAAAAAGAGTTGTCTTGATCTTCTAAAAAGCAATGCAGACGGTGATAACCACAGGACAAAGCACTTTCATATTATTATCTGACACGTTCCAATGTAAACCGCCAGCGCTTGTTTCTTTCTATGGGCATCTCACAAAACCGTGTTTAGGAGGTTCAAACTATGTTTCAGCCTAAAATTCATTCTGAAACCACTTTTTAATTAAATTAAAATGTATGCGCTTCTACTGAGACAAAATGAAGCTTTAACTGAATTCCAAAAAGAAAAAAATACACCATTGCTTTTCCCCAAATCAGGACTTCACATTAGTACTCTACAGCATAGTATGACAACTTGTCCATCAAGTTTTTGGACCATGCTTATATTTCTTGACAAACAGCAAAAATCCAATTATTCTGTACGTCAAAACTGACTCAGGTAATTCCCAGTACTGGCAAAAAAGGTTTATTTTTGGAATGGGGTAGGATGGCTCACATTTTAGGTTAAGGACTTCATTGCTCCATTGCCCACATTAACAGTTACAACAAAGAGCAGGTGAATAGTACTGCCAGAGCAATCTTTGGAATCCAATTCCAATTTCACTCTAAAATATTCAATGTCCTATTTCAGATTGAGTGGCTTTAAAATCAATAAGTGAGCATTTTGCTGAATAATACTAATCAGATACATTCTAGTTTAGGTATTTATCATGTAGGTACATTTTCAACACTTTAAATGAATCAAATATTGGAAACATTATTGATTTTGTTAAAAAATAAAAAATAGGTTTACAAATCATGCATGACAGGGAAAAAAATTACAAAAATTATATTATAATCAAACACACATAGAACCTGATCCTGGGATACTAAATGAAGCAAAACACTCAGTAAAGCAGTTTCTAGATTTTGATACAATTATGACTTGAAAATTGACTTACAATTTACAGCGTGCTATCCAAAGCTATCACAATTACATTAAGTTATTTTTGTAAAGTCTAGAAATTATTATTCAAAATCCCACCCCATTTTTAAAAAAATTCATGCATAAACAATATGAGCAGATACCCACATTTGGAAATCCTACTAAACACGACTATGTATTATACAACATGAAGAGTATTACTACCCACAACAAAGAAACCCAGAAGGCAGCAAGTATTTTAAATGTATGCCCTTATAACATAAAATTATTTGAAAGTACATTTCTCACATTTAGAGGCATTTTATGCAGCTTTTAGCGGCATTTCTTTCAGAAGAGCTTTTTAAAATTTCCAGCTAAAACCCTGTAGTGTCATTAAAATGCCATCTCCATGTTACAATATTGATCAAAAGTCGTGTACATGAATGGCATACTGAATCAGCAGTATGTAAATTCTACTGCAGTGCACACTGTTACCTACCTGGTGTTTGACATACTGGGTTGCCTCTTCCATCCTTCACCAGTGTGAGGTCTGATAAGCAGCACAATCCCGTCATGCACTGGAGCAAATGGTCAAAGGTACTAATGCAATTACTGTGAAGATCAAGGAAACTTAACTTGTGTCCAGCACCATGAAGATACAAAAATCCTACAGAGTGAATAAAGAGAAGACAGTCAGGATTCTATATACCAAAAATACACACAAGATTGGTAAATTTTCCTGCCAATAGGTACTGTAAGAGAATTTTAATGCTTTTCAGATTGTCTCTAAACTGTTTTCTTTTTTTTACTGACATATTTTAGTCCCTACATCAGAGTGAAATAGCTGTAACCGTTTCTTCTGAAATGGGAGCAGAGACAAATTATAAATGGAATTCACTGCTAGATTGATAATTGCACTTGGATAATTACATCATGGTGATTAAATCAGTTAGCGATACAGGAATGTTCTTAACTGGACTTGCTTGCAATTTATTTCACAGTAAATTCTGAACCTGCGATTTTATTATTTAAATTCACAAAAGAAAACCGTGGTAGTATTTAAGATATATTCTTTTTTCTCCAAAATAAAACATTAGAATGCTGAAGAAGGATCCTCTCATCCCACCAAACGTGCACATATTTCACAAACCTAATTGATAGTCTTACAACAATTTTAACTGACATATTGGCTTTCATGTCGGGAGAACGTCTCAAAGTGCTTTACGAAGACTTAGTGAGAGCCTGAACTGGGAGGGGTTTGGGGGAGTGACTGAAAGTACAGTCAAAGAGGTAGGTCTTCACATGGGATTTTTAAAACAATTACTCACAGAGTTACAATTACAGAGAGGGGTGAGGAGGAAAAATTTTAGGAAAAGAGACCTGAGGAGAGAGCTCTGGGGAGCTATGGTCACTCCACTTGACCATAGGAATAAGAAGAAAAGCTACTGGATTCAAAAAAAAGTGGAGAGGCTGGGACAGGTAGGAATGAAACCAAGAAAGTGCAGAGCCTCAGAGGTGAATCAGGAAGGGGAGATGCTGGTGGGGTCAACAGTATCAAAGATGCCAGAGAGATTGATTATGGACTTACACCACGAGAGTCTGCACCAGCTCTTTAACTGGAAACTAGGAACAGGTGGCCATGCTTTTCACCCACAAAATATACAGTCAATCCAATTTATAGTATATTCTGTGAAGTGGTTTGAGACATCTCAAAGATATGATAAGGCGCTATATCAAATGCAAGGATTATTATTATGTTCAGCCCATCAAGCTTTGTCCACCACAGACCATTCATTGATCCATGTTCAATCTCCTCATCCCTAAAGAATACATTACCAACATAACCCACCTTTAACTATAGTAACCCCGACCACCCCACTCTGCATCATTCTCATGAACCTATGTTGCACTCTCTCCAAAGCCAATATCTTTCCTGTAATGAGACACCAAAAATTGCAAGCAGTCCATCTACAGTTTCATCAGTGCTTCTTGTCAGTTATTTCAAACCAAGTTACAGTCGAGTATAATGCATTGTCTAATATTCTTCACATTACAAATCCAAAATGCTTCACTCTTAAAAGTTGCCAGATTTAAAAAGTTTAAAAAAACGACCTACAAGAACACTTCAGGAAATTCCAAGCAATTTTATTCCGTGTGAGCAACCGCATTTGTCACAAGTGACAAAGTTTCCTGGGTAATATTGGGTCTGTTTCCTGAGTGTACCAAACAACATACAGAATACATCAACATGCAAAAATATGTTTAAACCACATGCATTTTATCATCAATTAGCTTTAAAATTTAAATTTTATTTTGTACTACTTACATGGGAAGGAACTGTATACTGTATTTCAATAATTAATCTCACTTCCCATCTAAAGACCTATGTGACTCATTAGAGCTGTCAATGCATTTTATTTTAAATAAAAATCCTCGGTTTGGGAATAAACTGAAGCAGGGAGTGTTCCCATTACTAGCATTTAGTGTAAGGCTTCATGCTAGCACTGAGAAAAATATACTTAAAACATCCTCTTAATAGTTTCAATGGGAAAAAAAATCAGGAAACCATAATCTAAATTAATAAACACAGATATATAAAAAAATTATAATAAATGAGTAATACGTGATAGAAACGGAAATTAAACTTGTCGCCCCTATATACATGGTTATCAAAGCAATATCTAAAGCATATATGATTTCTAACATTAGAAAAGTTATTTAAATTAGAAGAGAAGTTTTATTATAGCATTTATTTAGTTATGGTGTATTTAAATGTAATTGATTCTATTATATAAACACAATCCTCTTACTTGAAGAAGGAAAATCCCAACCTTCTTCTTAGTGCCTTCCTCAGGCAATGGAACTTCAGTTAGTTTGTGATGTTAATACGGGTTACCAAAGGAACCAAAGCAGCAAAACTAGATGTGAGCAATCACGCAATTCGTGCGCTCAAAGAATGACTCAAGGAAACCAAAGTGCAAGAAAGCATGACAATTATGATCAGCTGTTTGTAAACGTTCTGAATACCATGTCTTCAATTGAAGAATGCATTAAATATCTAATATTTCACTCGTCTCTGCATTTCTTGCCAATAGTTTTTATTTTACTAATGAAACTTCATCCATTTGATATGGCAGCTATAACACTGTTGTAAAGTGACTGTGATGTACAGCAAAGATGTTAGTCAGTTTGCACAATGTACATGGGTAGCGTCTCAGAGCACTTTAATTTATCTGGCTGACTGTTAGCCAGAACACTGAGATTGATGTACTTAAGTCATACTCTTCTCTACTTAAATATTATAACATTTATTCCACTGGTCACATTTTCAGCATCCCAAAAGTCATCTCCAACAAACCTTCTTCAAAATCACCCATTGCTTCCTTCCTTATCATCACAATGAAAAACAAGATTTAGGTTTAGCATTAGTCTCATTCCTTCAATCTTCAGCAATGTGCCTCCTCTCAGGTAATAGATCTTTCTCATCATTCCCTTTAGATTGGGTTAGGGTTAGGGAATAGGAGAAGGAATCAAAAGGCACCACATTTCAGAACTGGCCGGACAAAGTCTGAAACACTGGCAGGAGAACTAGACACTATACTCCAGAAGAATCTACTATACGGATTCAAATGCATTTAATAATAATCCTTGGATTTGATACAGCACCTTTCAAGATGTCTCAAAATGTGAAGTGGAGTGACTGTGTATTTTGTGAGTGAAAAGCAGCAACCATTTGCAGACAGCAATGTCTCACAAACAGTCATGGAGTGAGTTACCAATTTTATATGGGGGATTGTTGGCCAGGAGTCCAGGAAGAAACTCCCTTCTATTGATGAGTAGTGCCATGGGATCTTTAAGATCCACCTGAACAGGCAGACGGGACCTTGGTTTTAACGTCTCACCCGAAAGACAACACCTCCAAAAATGTGACACTCCCCCCTCCCCCCCCAGTGCTGCATTGGACCTTGCGATTCCATGACTCAAGAGGTGAGAGTGCTACCACAGAGCCAGGCTGACACACATTTTGCACTCAAATAGCAACCTCAACAAAAAAACAATAAAACAATAAAAACAAAATGTAATCTATCCTAAGATTGATGCTATAAAGCATGCACCGTCCTCATAAGTAAAGAAATAATAAGGTTAGATGTTTTCCCTAATTGTCCCACACTTTTCCTCCCTATATCTTTTCAGTATGAAAACTCCCTGGATCACCAATTACTTAGGCCTATTCTTTTCTTGGGGCTAAATACCATGGAAGTCTCTGCTTCCCTCAGTCTTTCTTTTCCTTCTACAATATATAGAGCTTCAGAAACCAAGCTTCATCTTGATTGATCACGTCTTTCCTAAGGGCAACTCTTTGAAGACTGAATCGTTTGCAGAAAGTTTCATGATAAGCTTACATTACGGCAGACCATAACTTGATGAACCACAGGAGAATCGCCCTCTATTCCTTTTAACCTTTGTGGTGTTCTGTATTATGAGTCTCAGCTCTTAACCCAAGTCTCTCAATTTAAAAAAGTTACATTTAACAGCATTATATAATGTTATCAGCATGTTAAAACAAGTCGTACAGAACTTCGTGGTAACAAATATATTCAGTGACCTCATTTGAAGGGCACTGATAAGGTTTTTGCCCAATTCATGTAATGCATTAAATTTAAACTAATTGAAAATATGCTAAGTTATGCAAATACAAAACCTTAATGAACATCCCCAGTTTAAGTTAACACATTTATATTCATTAACTGCACATCTCCAGTAAATGCCACCAGCTCATATTACCACTGATGACTGACCGTTTACTTTATAAATGAAAAATACAATTAATGAAAGACCAACTATTTTCTGCACAATTTTAACAATGTAAAGTTAAAACAAATCACAGTACGTCAAGTTACTCAGATGTTTACTGAAATAAAAGTACGTACTACGCTAATAATTAAGCTTAAAAGACCCCAAAAGCAACTGTCTTAAAGAAAAATAACACCATTGAGAACATAAACTTTCATCTAAATCTGTTAAAATACAACAAGTCTTGAAATCTCTCATTTTTATCCTCTTTCATTTAACCTCTTCTACTTGTCTCCTATCCTCACAGCCAACTTGGCTATAACCGGAGATTTGGAAGCTATAAGCTGTGAGAATCCTACAACGAGGTGATAACATTTATAAGTATTGTTTCTCTTGTTCTCTAGCAAAAAAAACATTAAACACTATGGATAAACAACAAACACACGGCTAACTCATCATCTTTCGTGCAGAGTTTACTGGGGTAGATTAAGCATCACTGCAGATGCTGATATAGCCATCAAAGCATTCTCTAACTTTTCTTACTGAACTGAAAGAAAACAAAGACAAGGACTGCAAAGGTAGACTGAACAGTACAATACTTTGTCTAAAATGGTAGGATTTAAGGAGGTTGCAGAGGTAGGGTAGGGCAGGACTCGTGGAGGGATCTGAAAGTGATGACGAGGATCTTGAACTCAATCCACTGGGGGATGGGGAGCTATTGAAGCCAAGTGAGTATTTGGGTGATAGGCTTGAGGAGCCCACTGCAGAAAAGGACACTGGCTCCAGAATAGTGGATAGGTAAAAATAAAATTTAGCAGACTACATAAACCATTCAAAGTTTGATCTTGTTGATCTGAACTCTGTTTGAGATTCAGAAACTAAGTGATTGGTGTGTAGCCCTCCAAACCGAAGAGGGACACATTGCATAAAGTGTCATGACATAAACTTTGATGAAAATAATTTTAATCTAGATCTAGATTTCATGCTTTCAATAACTGGAGAACAATATGAAGATTAGTGAGCGAGATATCTACATTGGGATATATCTGAGTCTACTCTAGACAAAGAAAAATCTTTGAAGAACAAAAACAAATTACATTTGTGTAGCGCCTTTCACGACGGGAGGATGTCCCAAAGCGCTGGACAGTCAGGGATTTGGACCCGAGCTGGGGGCACGGTTGAAGAGGAGTTTTTGAGATGTGCCTGGCCCAACCGTGAATGGTGGGGCAGGCCAGGCGGGAGATATGGAGGAAGCCATAGCCTGCTGAGCTGAGGAAGTGGACAGGTTGTTATGGTGTCCGTACATTACAGAGTAGAAAGCAGCAAGGCTGTGGAGGGCTTTAAAGGCGAGGACAAGGATTTTGAATTCTTTCCTCTGGGGAATGGGGAGGCAATGGAGCCAGACGAGGGTCGGGTGATAGGGTCACTGAGTCTGGTGCGGGAGAGGACACGAGCTGCAGAGTGAGAAGTTATTGCTTAGGAGACAATGCTTAATAGTTGTCTGAACATGGATACCCATAAACATCAAGTCTCACTTAATAATAATAATAATAATCCTTGCATTTGATATAGCGCTTTTCACGTCGGGAGGATGTCCCAAAGCGCTTCAGAGAATACACTGTAAAGTGAATTGACTGTATATTTGTGGGCGAACGCGGCAGCCAATTGCGCACAGCAATGTCCCACAAACAGTCGTAGATTGAAAATGAACAATTTATTATTGTTTTTGGTTTTTGGAGGGATTATTATTAGGCTCTGTGTGGAGTAAGGAAACTTGCCCAAGGTTTCGCCCTCTGCCTGGAATTGAACTCAGGTCTGTCGCTTGCAAAGCGAGTGCTCTAACCACTGAGCTACAGGACTCCACTTCAGCTCGAGATGTGACTTCTCAGTTAATGAAGAAGCTGAAGTCCTGATATTTGGAAAGAATCTCTTGGGCTTGTATCTGAGTACTCTCTCAGCAAGCCACTCTCAAACTAATCATTTAAATAGCTCTCTGTCATTTGTAAAGCGCCTTTCATGTTGGGAGGATGTCCCAAGGCACTGGACAATCAAGTGTTTTGGACCTGAGCTGTGGGTTCGGGATCGGGGAGGGTGGAGGGCAGGGTGTGGAGAGGTGATCAAAGGCATCCTTGCCCAACTCCACTGGCTTCCCATTACACAGAGGATACAGTTCAAGATCCTGGTCCTCACCTTCAAAGTCTTCCATGGCCTTGCTCCCCCCTAACTTTGTCACCCCCTAACCCCCTACCATCCTGCTCCCTCCCTCCGCTTAGCGGGCTCTGGCCTGCTTCACATCCCCCGCCTTGCCCGCCCCACCGTTGGCGCACGAGCTTTCTGCCACTCTGCTCCCATCCTCTGGAACTCCATTCCACAGTACCTCCACCTTGCCCCCTCCCTTGCCTCCTTCAAGATGCACCTTGGTACCCTCCTCTTCGACCATACTTTTGAAGGCACGGTTGAAGAGGAGGATCTTGAGACTTGCCCTGATGGGACAAGGGAGGGAGCGAGGCGAAGGGAATGTACGATGGAGTTTCAGAGTGTGGGGGCAGAGAGGCTGAAGGCCTGACTGCTGATAGTGGGCTTGGTCTGGCGGGGAAAAGGAGCAGGCCACAGCCTGCTGAGTGGAGGGTGCGGACAGGTTGATAAGGGATTAGCAGGTTGGAGAGGTGGGAGGGGGCAAGGCCATGGAAGGCCTTGAAGGTGAGACTGAGAATTTTGAACTCGATCCTCTGAGGGATGGGGAGCCAGTGGAGCCGGGCAAGGGTGGGTGTGATGGGATCACGCAGCCTGGTGTGGGAGAGGACACGAGCTGCAGAGTTCTGGATGATCTGCAGCTTGTGGAGGGAAGAGCTGGAAAGGCCGACAAGCAGGTTGGCATAGTCAAACCTGGATGTAATGAAGGCATGTATGAGAAACCAACAATTTGCTCAATTATATTTGATATCAAGCTGGATAAACAAGACAATCTAATTTTACCTCAGTTATGTTGGTAAACCTTGAGTTTGAGTCTACATTTTCTACATTTTATTTGTTGATGATATAACAATATTTGTAGTTTTATGGTAAACAAAAGCTAATACAGCTAAACCACTTTTTGAAAGTTAGCAAAGAACCTCAACTTACCACTTAAATCTGTAATGCCATTGTAAGATAAATTCAGCTTCGTTAAATTGACGAGTCCATTGAGTCCTAAAAGGGAGATTTTTTTCCCAAATGTTAATCTCAATAGGTTTCACATTGTATATAATAAAAATTTAAAATACATTGAACACAAATTTTGGGAAGTAAATTCCTGGCTGCATTTTATATCATGCTACTGGAATTTTGTAGCTGCAATTCCCAGCTACTACAGGCTTTTACTGTTGTGAAAGCAAGTGGTCAAGTAATATCTTGGACAGTGAGTGGCACAGGTTTAATTTAATAAAACTTTCTGCTAACTCCAACAGCTTTGAATTGTTAGTTAATGTAAAAGTTAGAATGGGACAGAAACAAGTTAAAATGAAGGCCCCACTTTCACCAAATAAACCAAAACAAGGTTTACTGTAAAGGAAATGCAGTGAATAACAATACATAACATTCAACATGGAAATGGAATAGCAGATTTCAGTACTGCTATCTGAATAGGAACATGAATAGTGTTCATCATGTCCAGGCTAGACTACGCCAACTCTGCACGCCAGGCTTTCCAACTCTTCCCTCTACAAGGTGCAGACCATCCAGAACTCTGCAGAATTGTGTCCTCTCCTGCACTAGGCTCCACAAACCTATCACTCGCATCCTCACCTGGCTCCACTGGCTCCCCATCCCAGAGGACCGAGTTAAAGATACTGAGCCTCACTTTTAAATCCTTCCACGGTCTTGCCCCACCTACCGCCGCGACCTTCTAAAATCCTACCAACCTGCCTGCTTCCCCCGCTCGGCAGCTACTGGCTTGCTTCACGTCCCCAGCCCTGCCCGCCTCACCATCGGCATTCAGGCTTTCAGCCTTTCTGCCCCCAAGTTCTAGAACTACAACAAACAATTGCATTTATGGAGCTTTTTTCACATCAGGAGGATGTCTCATATAACATCTTTCAGTCCTCCCCACGGGAAAGGTGTTATATAATCGCAATTTGTTGTTGTTGTAATGATAGTAATCCTTGCAATTGATGTATCACCTTATCAAGTCTTCCAGATGTCTCAAAGCGCTTCACAGAATATACTGTAAAGTGAACTAAATGAATATTTTGTGGGTGAAACAAGGCATCCAATTGCGCACAGCAATGCTCCACCGACAGTCGTGGATTGAGTGACCAAATTATTATTATTTATTTTAAAGGGATTATTATCCCCAGAAAAGCGATCCGCTAATCGGGTTCCTACTTACGGCTAGGTAAACAGAGGCATGTGGAGTAAGGAAACTTGCCCAACGTTTCGCCCCACCCGGGAATTGAACCCAGGTCCTCTCGCTTGAACCCAGAACCTCTAACCACTAAACTGCAGGACTCTTGTAGGAGTAGATTAAGTATTTAATGGTACTGTAATGTCCTACATAATCTACTCACAGTCCCACGTGGAGATGCACATAGTTCCCATCGAACACTGGAGCATGAATTTGTAGGTAAAAATAAATCTACTCAAGTCAAGATGCAATTTTGTAGCTTTCACTGCCTGTCAATGATGTACATAAATTGTTTTTTGCATTATTCAAATATGTCAAATATGTTAAAGTTGTGTAAATTGCCATGATGAAAATCAAGTCCTCTATCACGAGATCAGTCACATTCCATCCAAAAGTTCATGGGAATTTATTACATGAGGGAAACGTAAATAGAGAGTTAGGGGTGAGAGAAATAGCTGGGGGCTCATGTGGAGTATAAACACCAGCACAGGCTAGTTGGGACAAGGAATTTGTTTCTATGCCATATAATTCTATGTAATTCTATGTAACATTCTGTTCCCCATCCAAATAATCAAACCCAATCACAGAGGTGTAAATGACCATTTCTCAATAGGTTTGGTTAACATTTTAATGTACTCCCATTTACATACCTTCAACTTGGGTTATCAGATTACAAGACAGGTTAAGGGTACGCAAGGATATTAGGTTCCCCAGTCCTTCAATGCGAACAATTTGATTGGAGGAGAGATCGAGATGTCTCAGTTGCCACAAGTGGCTGAGGCCTTCGAGTTTGGAGATTTGATTGCAGTGAAGGTTGAGTGATTGAACTTTCGAGTTGATTGGTACTGCTGACAAGCTTTAAATAAAATGAACAGAGAAAAGTCATTTTAGATAATAGATATTCAAATCACATCCATTTTGGTTAAAAAAAGTGGTTTGCAATGTGATTTTTGGAGAATCTTGCTAGTAACAGTCAGTACCTTACAGCATAATCCTAATCCTCTTAAAAGAACTACTTCCTACTTTATAATTCACTGCCTTGCACAACAGAGATTTTTACTAAAACAGCACCATAGCCATCTGCTCCCAGATGTCTACCATTATTTTCCATAATCATCATTTAACTGTGTTGGGTGCAGGAAAGGGAGCTTCCAAAATTCAATAAAAGCTAGCTGTGCTCCCGATAACAGCAGCAAACGGCTTTGTCAAGTGTCAACCACCAACTGGCAAGTCTCTATGAAGCTGCAAAATGAAGGGGAAGCTATGTCTAAGGAGCAGTGCTTTCTGTTCAATGGTGTCTAAATATGTCTAAGTACTTATTAAATGTCATTGATCTTCAGGCTGAGATCCAGTGTTTTTCATTGCTTGGATCACTCCAACCCACCAGCATCTGTCTCGGAAACAGCCTGGAACTGCCCGATCCTGAACATATCTCTACCAGGCAAGCACCCAGTGAGAAGAATGCTTCTTAAGTTTAAGTTTTTTTTAAGTTTCTTCAAACTAAAAATTACACTGAACTCAGTAATCACTTGGCAATCTTACCAATGTATCTGGTAGCCTGCTCTCAGGTTACACACTTGACACAGTTTTCATTCTGGATTCACAGAATTATGTCTGATTTCATTCCAACAAACCAAATGATCTCTTGTTTACTTACCCAGCAACTAAAAGATGCACAATATGGTTTGAAACAACCAGTCGGAACAAGGCGGTTCTTGCAAGTAAATTAATCCAATAAATTAGGTATTCAGGATTTTGTAAAATAATGCATTGACATCACAAAACGCAAATACGAGCTTGGAACATTGGATTACAGCAAAGCGGTTCAATAATTGGCAGAATATTTTTTAAAATAGTGTCAGTTCTACTGATTAGCTCTAAAAATTGAACCATTAGCAAGTCTGATTCTTAATCAAATTATATTAATTTTAAAACATCCTAATGAATTTCATACAAGGCAAGCAGGTCTGTCGCTTACCAAGCCTGCGAGAGCAGCTGGGAGAGAGGAAATACATTTAAAAATCTGACACTGCATTTTACCCTCTGCACCCACATCAAACTCCCCTGATGACACATGGGATCATGAGGCAGGCTGAGCATCCAAGACGTCCATCACTTGTCTGACAGTACAGTACTGTGTTAGCAAAGACCTTGCAGTCAGTGTCAGTGTTGAATCATTTTATTTTGTAAACACCTGCATATAGGGAATTGCTCTCTTTATAGTTCATGTCTCCTTTCATGTGATACGTTCCAGCCATGTCAAACTGGCATGTGGGTGGAACAATCTTGAGGTAAATTAATGTTAAACTACAAGAGGTTATCTGCTCAATCCCACATTCCAACAACAAGCAATTATTTATGAGAGGCACAATCAAACTACTGCAAGATCGCATCAGCATGCCTGAACAAGTTGAATCTTTCCTACCTCCCCACCCCCAACAACCAACACTCACAGGAGAACATATAGTTCTACTGATATTTCTTAGACATGTATGTAGGAATTATGATACTTGCTGGCTTGTTGAGTCAAGGCTATCATTGGAATCTCAGTTGACATTGAGCCATTGTACGAAGCCCTGGGCCTTGATTATGAGATTCTGATGAACTGTACAAATGGTCGCTTCATTGATTTTCTATTTGCAGTTCAGCACCTCATTCCAACTTTGTGCCAATTGTCATCCAAAAAGACTTACCAGTCAAGAAAGTGGTTTTAATCTTGGCTCCCCATTTATTTATAGCAACAAGTCACCCACACTCAGTCATCAACATTTGGTCTGGCTAGTCAGGAATGATAAGAGAGGAAAGCACTGTAGGAGACGAGACCTCTTATGTTTCTTCTCTATGACACTAATACAGTGAGTTCCCAACTTCAAATCCACAGATTTGAAGTTTCAATTCAATTCAATTCAAATTCAAATCCTCCAAAAGGAGACAATAAAGAGATGAATTTACTCATACATGTCAAAGTGAACTCAAGAGCAATAGACAGAATCATGGTAGTGACAAAAATCCTTAACCTCTGTGAATGTTATATGATACAACATATCACAAGATTTAAAAACACATTAGATTACAAACTTTGCTTGAATTACAGAGTTGAAGGACAAGTAGTCATAGATTAACATTGGCTTATACAATGGAGGAACAGCAACTAGTCATGTAGGACATTCATATACTGGTTTGAATCCAAATTATTTATTCAATTTGATTATTGCACAAGGCCAGCATCTTGCTCACTAACCTGCAACAGTATTATGTTTCATTGAAAGCATTTTCCTCTTCATTTATATTTTTTAATGAATTATTCATGGAGTCTTAAAATATTTGTCTCCTACAGTCCATTAGGACACAGCTAGTGGAGACTATAGGCTTCAAGGTTTGTGAATTTGACAGGAGATGAGCAATGTACCTGGTAATATTCCTATCAATCAGACAAAGCTCCTGGGAGGATTGATCATGATGTGCCATTCCGCTTCATTACGTAGTACAATTAGCATTCAATTTCAACCTATTAAAGAAAAAACAGTGCAAATTAGTCATATATTTAGTAATTTTATGATTCATCACCTAGAATAGGATTTTTTTCTCTTCTTGTACCAGACTTTAGAGCATTTACTGTGAAACCTCAGATTTATATTGTGACTTACATTTCTCACCTTTTGAGAACATTATTGTTCAGTTGAATGTTCTCAAAATGTCTTTTCATATTGATTCAAAGCAAGTTTTAAAAGCTGTGAAGGAAGAAAGATCCCTACTGATAACGTTCCTGAATTAAGACAATATAATCCACTCTATTTGGCTACATTTGCTACCTTACATTTTGTTGTGTGTGTCAATGAAGGAATTTTGTTGTTGTTGTTACAGAAGGATGTGAGAGACAGCAATATAAAATAATCAATTTAATAATGCTGTCGATAACTTTGGTGTTAAAATTCTTTCTGAATCTAACAAAGTGTGAGCAGCATTAATAAAAGTTCCATTACATACCTGCTTCCAACTTCACTGAAGCCTCTTAAAACACTGAGTGAGGCCCCTCAAATAAGAATCTTTGAAACAAATGGACATTCTTCTCAAAAGTTAAAAATGTAATTTTATTAAAGACGACCTTGTGATTATACAGTAGCTTTGTAAAAGATTCAGTTCGAATTTAGTTCTTCGATAAGTAAGAGACCTTGTCCTTCAATGTAACCAATCTTTCCATTAAATCCTACTCCACTCCCATGAGTTCATTGTTGCTCAATTTTAATTGCACAATTATTCCACAATTTGTTCAATTAGAAACCAATTTGCAAAGTATCTCATGTGTGAAAACTTTCATTACTGAACTTTTTAGCAAAATATTTAGTATGGCAAAAATCAACTTTTTTTTTGTCAGCTGAATATCTAACAGTGAGGAAACCCAACATGCTTAATCGTATGTAAGCGTACTTAAAAATACCAGACTAATATTTCCATGAAACCCAAAGGAGACCCCGCTTACCAATCTCTCTCTCCCCCAGGGAAGAGAGACACTAGTTGGTCATTTGGCATTTGACAACCGCAGGTTTCAGCTTTCACTAGCTAGACAGATACCAGGAACTCCCTGTGAGCTCAACAAGAAATACAACAACAACAACAAATTACATTTGTAAAGCGCCTTCATGTGGGGAGGACGTCCCAATGCACTGGACAGACAGAGTTACGGACCGGAGCTAGGGGTCGGGGCTGGGGAAGGTGGAGGGCAGGGGGGGAAGCAGGGAGATCGAAATCACAGTCAAAGAGGAGGGTCTTGAGATGGGTCTTGAAGGAGGCAAGGGAGGGGGCGAGGCGGAGAGACTGCGGGATGGAGTTCCAGAGGTTGGGGGCAGAGTGGCAGAAGGCCTGCCAGCCAATAGTGGGGCGAGCGAGGAGGGGGACGTGAAGTCAGAGCCCGCTGAGCGGAGGAAGCGAGCAGGATGGTAGGGGGTTAGAAGGTCGCAGAGTTAGGGGGGAGCAAGACCTTGGAAGGCTTTGAAGTGAGGAGCAGGATCTTGAACTGTATCCTCTGTGTGATGGGAAGCCAGTGGAGTTGGCAAGGATGGGGGTGATAGGGTCGCGGAGCCTGGTGCGGGAGAGGACACGGGCTGCAGAGTTCTGGATGATCTGCAGCCTATGAAGGGAGGAGCTGGCGAGGCCGACAAGCAATGAGTTTGCATAGTTGAGCCTCGATGTAATGAAAGCATGTATGAGAGTTTCGGCGGCCTGCGGTGTGAAATACATACTCCTGCTTAGATAATCATCCCTGTTCACTGAGCAATGGTTCAACTGTCTGGAGGTGCAGAATCTGAGCAGTAGCTGCTTATCTCGCTAGATATCATCAAGGTGGATACCAAGTCCTGGGTATATGAGCACGTTTCAGCAACTGTCATCCTAAGCTTCAGAATTTCCTCAACGGACAGCGGTGAGAGGACATTTACAGCTTGTGTCATGCCAATCACCTTGATGTTCTATAAAAATGAACTAGTTACAGCAACATAAGGATACTCCAAGTCCCAGAAGAAATAGAGGTAGAGAGCAACAAGATCTCCAAAAGGGACATGTCAGAGAGCAGTATATGAAGCAATTAAAAAGCTAAATGGGATAGAAAACATAAACCTGAAAAATTGCTTTCAGATACCCCAAGGTACCAGGGCAAGAATGAACAGGTTCAAGGTTATGAAGCACGAGTTCCAGACACACATCAGGACACATTTCTTTACCCAGGATAATCAATAACTTTCGCCCACAAATATACGGTTAATTCACTTTACAGTCTATTCTGTGAAGCGCTTTGAGACGTCGAGAAGATGTGAAAAGCGCTATATCAAATGCAAGGATTATATTATTATCATAATAACTGATTATTCTGGGTAATCAGTTATTGATTATAATTGATTACCCAGTTACCAGGAAGCTAAGATGTAGGATTCATTTAAGAAACAGCTTGATGCTGTACTGAAAAGACAGCAAAGTTGGTATGCTGGAATGATGACATCAAATGGGATGAAGAACGTTCTTCAGAAACTCTCGTGATTTTGTCAAGTTCATTGCTACGTGCAAATTGGCTACCACATTTGCCCACAAAATACACATTCTTTACATACATACCCTTTACAGTAAATCCTGCAATGCTTTTTGAGGTGTCCTCCAAATGTGAAAGGTGCTATGTCAAATGCAAAGATTTTTAAGCTGCAACAACAACAACAACAAGATTCCATTTATAAAGCGCCTTTCACGTCAGGAGGACGTCCCAAGGCGCTGCACAGTTGGGTCATGACCCGAGCATTGGGGAAATGGTCAGGGTGAGGGGAGGGAAGGGAGGGAGCGAGGAGGGGGGAAATGGTCAGGGTGAGGGGAGGGAAGGAAGGGAGCGAGGAGGGAGAAGAGAGTCGAGAGGGGAGCTGAAGGCTCGGTCAAAGAGAAAGGTTTTGAGACCGGCCTTGAAGGAGGAAAGGGAGGAGGCGGCGAAGGCACTGGGGGATAGAGTTCCAGAGCCTGGGGGCTGAGAGGCTGAAGGCCCGACCACCGATGGTAGGGCGGTTGGGGCGGGGGACGTGGAGCAGACCGGAGCCGGAGGAACGGAGGGTACGGGCAGGTAGGTAGGGGGATAGTAGGTTGGAGAGGTAGGAGGGAGCGAGGCCGTGAATGGCCTTGTAGGTGAGGATGAGGATCTTGAAATCAATCCTCTGGGGGATGGGGAGCCAGTGGAGGCGAGCGAGGGTAGGAGTGATGTGGTCCCGAAGCCTGGTCAGTTGATCACTATGGGGTTAAAACTATTCCTTGATTACAATCTCACAATGCCTTTACTGAAAACTGTGATCAGTTTATTACAAGAACTACACTAAAGCAGAAAGAAAATCTTTTGTGCTGCAATGGAGTTCTGTAGTTCAGTGGTCAGGGCACTTGCCTCGTAAGCGAGAGACCTGGGTTCATTTCCCGGCAGGGTGAAACCTTGGGCAAGTTTCCTTACTCCACACGCCTGATAATAATCCCTCAAGAAAAAAAAACAAGAAAAATTGGTCACTCAATCCACGACTGTTTGTGGGTCACTGCTGTGCGCAATTGGCTGCCACGTTTCGCCCACAAATGTAGTCAATTCACTTTAAAGTATATTCTGTGAAGCACTTTGAGACGTCTAGAAGACGTGAAAAGTGTATATCAAATGCAAGGATTATTATTATTAAAGTTTGCTAAGCACTATAATTGCCATTTTTACTCTTCACAAGTTTCAGAAGCCAATGGGTTCAATTTGCTTGTCAGTTCCGGAAATAAACTGTCAAAAATACATAGACATGTTCTCAATGGCCATTTGTGGATTTAATCATTGAGAGCTACACTTCTAGTTAGATGACAATTATCATTGTGAGTTCTGTAGTGACAAGAAAATATGACTAATATGAATGCAAAACATTATTGGTTAGGATCACACACACATTGCTGCATCTCAATAAGGAAAGAAGTGGAACAGCTTTCTTTATGACCAAAACATTAAATACTCATTAAATCAATAACATGGTTTCTTTTCTTCTTCATACAGTATAAACATCAAAGAACTAAATGCAGGAATCAGTTTTCCTTTACGTGATTTGCAAGCTACTACTGTATTTATTTCTATGTTAAACAACATTCCATCCACTTTGTCATAGCACACAATAAATATATAAGATAAACTTTGACTAGTAAATGACTGATACCTTAGGTCAGTTTGACCTGACTTAAGAACATGTGGAGCTTTGAACAAATTTGGCTCTGCACAGGAAAGAAAATGAGAATTTTAAAAAAGGCACCATGTTATGCTTGGTACAGTTTACACTGAGGAATCCCCAAATTGCAAGCTCCAGATTAAGTTGAGCTAACTTGGCAAGGCATTAAACTGAAGCAGAGCAATTCCAAACGGATATAAAAAAACTAAATTCAGTAGTGCAGTGAAGAGCTCCCTCCATAAAAGCTGTGGAATGCAGTGCATCAAAGAAAAGGGAACATCTAAGAGGAAAGAATATCACAAAATATCACATTTAAAATTTCAGTCCGTGCAATCTTATCTTACTACTAAGGCAGTAAACCCTGCTGCACTATATTGTATGCAATGAATCCATTTGCATCAGCACCTCATCCACTCCCATTAAATAGGCAAGCTGCAGGAGCTCATCTGCATTTTCTCACTGAAGTGGAGTCGTATAGCATATTGGTTAGAGCGCTCACTTCGCAAGCGAGAGGACCCAGGTTCGATTTGTGGGCGGAGCAAAACCTTCTGAAATTTTCCTTACTCCACACGCCTCTGTTTACCTAGCAGTAAGTAGGAACCTGATTATTAGTTGATTGGCGGATCACTTTCCTGGGGTAATAATCCCTTCAAATAAATAAATAAATAATTTTGTCAGTCAATCCACAACTGTTTGTGGGACACGGCTGCCTTGTTTTGCCCACAAAATATACAGTCAAGCAACTTTATAATGTATTCTGTGAAGCACTTTGAGACATCTCAATGACTTGATAAGACACCATATCAAATGCAAGGGTTTAACTTTATAATAGGAATGAGCCATTATAAACTGAGTGATGCATGATTATCATGATGTTCACTAAGGATTTACAATGCAGCACTGACCCACTGAAGTGTGATGTTAGTCAAACATGAGATTAGTGGAAGCAATCCAATCAATCAGTGATTTCTCTTGAAATTTTTTTTGCATGGAAAATTCTCTAAACAATCTTCAGTACTGTAGTTCATTTCGTCCTTCGGATTTTCTCACTTAAATTTTAAATAATTTTTTTTCTGGTCTCTAATACATCAGAGAAAAATATGACTATTTAGAGAAATTAGGCAATGTCTGCTATTTCCTCAAATCATCACAAAGCAATAACATTTCTTGCATTTTATATAGTGCCTTTCATGTTAGGAGGACATCTCAAAGAGCTTCATAGGATTTACTGTATTCCTGAATTAAACACTGATTGATTTCAGATCAAAATGCTAGTGGGTACAATTGTACAAAAGGGCGCTGGGCATAACACCACTCTCACCAGTGTCACGATGGGCAGTGGGTAATGTCAGGGAGCTCGTGTCTCTGACAATAATAACACACTCTCTCAGCCTCTGTCCAGGTTACAGTCTGAGTTTTTTTTATTTTGGTCAGCTGGGTGTCTGACACATATGGGAACCCATTATCAAGCTTAAAGAGTATATTAAAAAAATGAATCCAACCTACACATGGAAATTGCAGACATACAGTATTTACTGAAATGCAATGTGCACTCTCTCCCTGAGACGCATCCTGCTTACCTAATTCTGTAAAGTATTAGGCACAGGTTGCAAAGAGGCAAGGCTTGGGGACCCCAGAGCGTGCTGTGCGTTGGGATACTGCTGGAGTCTAACCAGCTAAAACCGCAGAGCTTGCCAATGCAAGCTTTCCCGCTGCTTGTCCAGCTCGGACCACCCCAGCTTTGGCATGCAAGGCTAACAGGCGCTGAGTTAACCAGAGTTAACCTACCGATAAGCCAGGCTGGCTATGCTGTGATCAGCAGTGCCCTGGGATTCTGCGGACCCGCCAGGCTCAGAGGCGAGTGAGACCTCCGCAGAGGGCTGCTGGATTCCAACTTTCCATTGCCAGCCATGTCACCTTGGAGCCGGGTGAGCTCCAACGGGAACCCACTAACCTCCCCGGGGAGGATAGTCACTGGTTGTTCGGTCAACAAGTGTAGGTTTGAGCCTCACCAGGAACTCCCTGTGAGCTGCAATAATAGCCCCCCACCCCTGTGACTCTCTGTGAGCTGCAGTAACAGCCCCCCCCCCCCGGGACTCTGTGTGAGCTGCAGTAACAGCCCTCCCCCCCCCGGGACTCTGTGTGAGCTGCAGTAACAGCCCCCCACCCACCCCGGGACTCTGTGTGAGCTGCAGTAACAGCCCCCCCCCCGGGACTCTGTGTGAGCTGCAGTAACAGCCCCCCCCCCCCCCGGGACTCTGTGTGAGCTGCAGTAACAGCCCCTCCCCCGGGACTCTGTGTGAGCTGCAGTAACAGCCCTCCCCCCCCCGGGACTCTGTGTGAGCTGCAGTAACAGCCCCCCCCCCCCCGGACTCTGTGTGAGCTGCAGTAACAGCCCCCCCCCCCCCGGGACTCTGTGTGAGCTGCAGTAACAGCCCCCCCCCCCCCCGGGACTCTGTGTGAGCTGCAGTAACAGCCCCCCCCCCCGGGACTCTGTGTGAGCTGCAGTAACAGCCCCCCCCCCGGGACTCTGTGTGAGCTGCAGTAACAGCCCCCCCCCCCCCCCGGGACTCTGTGTGAGCTGCAGTAACAGCCCCCCCCCCCCCGGGACTCTGTGTGAGCTGCAGTAACAGCCCCCCCCCCCCCCGGGACTCTGTGTGAGCTGCAGTAACAGCCCCCCCCCCCCCCCGGGACTCTGTGTGAGCTGCAGTAACAGTCCCCCCCCCCCCCGGGACTCTGTGTGAGCTGCAGTAACAGCCCCCCCCCCCCGGGACTCTGTGTGAGCTGCAGTAACAGCCCCCCGGACTCTGTGTGAGCTGCAGTAACAGCCCACCCCTCCCCCCGGGACTCTGTGTGAGCTGCAGTAACAGCCCCCCCCCCCCGGACTCTGTGTGAGCTGCAGTAACAGCCCCCCCCCCCCGGGACTCTGTGTGAGCTGCAGTAACAGCCCCCCCCCCCCCCCGGGACCTCTGTGTGAGCTGCAGTAACAGCCCCCCCCCCCCGGGACTCTGTGTGAGCTGCAGTAACAGCCCCCCCCCCCCGGGGACTCTGTGTGAGCTGCAGTAACAGCCCCCCCCCCCCACGGCCAGTAACACCCCCCGGGACTCTGTGTGAGCTGCAGTAACAGCCCCCCCCCCCCCCGGGACCTGTGTGAGCTCAGTACAGCCCCCCCCCCGGACTCTGTGTGAGCTGCAGTAACAGCCCCCCCCCCCCCGGGACTCTGTGTGAGCTGCAGTAACAGCCCCCCCCCCACCCCCCGGGACTCTGTGTGAGCTGCAGTAACAGCCCCCCCCCCCCCGGGACTCTGTGTGAGCTGCAGTAACAGCCCCCCCCCCCGGGACTCTGTGTGAGCTGCAGTAACAGCCCCCCCCCCCCGGGACTCTGTGTGAGCTGCAGTAACAGCCCCCCCCCCCCCCGGGACTCTGTGTGAGCTGCAGTAACAGCCCCCCCCCCCCCCGGGACTCTGTGTGAGCTGCAGTAACAGCCCCCCCCCCCCCCCCGGGACTCTGTGTGAGCTGCAGTAACAGCCCCCCCCCCCCCCGGGACTCTGTGTGAGCTGCAGTAACAGCCCCCCCCCCCCCCCGGGACTCTGTGTGAGCTGCAGTAACAGCCCCCCCCCCCCCGGGACTCTGTGTGAGCTGCAGTAACAGCCCCCCCCCCCGGGACTCTGTGTGAGCTGCAGTAACAGCCCCCCCCCCCCCCCCCGGGACTCTGTGTGAGCTGCAGTAACAGCCCCCCCCCCCCCCGGGACTCTGTGTGAGCTGCAGTAACAGCCCCCCCCCCCCGGGACTCTGTGTGAGCTGCAGTAACAGCCCCCCCCCCCCCCCGGGACTCTGTGTGAGCTGCAGTAACAGCCCCCCCCCCCCCGGGACTCTCTGTGAGCTGCAGTAACAGCCCCCCCCCCCCCCCCGGGACTCTGTGTGAGCTGCAGTAACAGCCCCCCCCCCCCCCCGGGACTCTGTGTGAGCTGCAGTAACAGCCCCCCCCCCCCCGGGACTCTGTGTGAGCTGCAGTAACAGCCCCCCCCCCCCCCCCCCCGGGACTCTGTGTGAGCTGCAGTAACAGCCCCCCCCCCCCCGGGACTCTGTGTGAGCTGCAGTAACAGCCCCCCCCCCCCCGGGACTCTGTGTGAGCTGCAGTAACAGCCCCCCCCCCCCCCGGGACTCTGTGTGAGCTGCAGTAACAGCCCCCCCCCCCCCCGGGACTCTGTGTGAGCTGCAGTAACAGCCCCCCCCCCCCCCCCGGGACTCTGTGTGAGCTGCAGTAACAGCCCCCCCCCCCCCCCCGGGACTCTGTGTGAGCTGCAGTAACAGCCCCCCCCCCGGGACTCTGTGTGAGCTGCAGTAACAGCCCCCCCCCCCCCCGGGACTCTGTGTGAGCTGCAGTAACAGCCCCCCCCCCCCCGGGACTCTGTGTGAGCTGCAGTAACAGCCCCCCCCCCCCCCGGGACTCTGTGTGAGCTGCAGTAACAGCCCCCCCCCCCCCCCGGGACTCTGTGTGAGCTGCAGTAACAGCCCCCCCCCCCCCCGGGACTCTGTGTGAGCTGCAGTAACAGCCCCCCCCCCCCGGGACTCTGTGTGAGCTGCAGTAACAGCCCCCCCCCCCGGGACTCTGTGTGAGCTGCAGTAACAGCCCCCCCCCCCCCCCGGGACTCTGTGTGAGCTGCAGTAACAGCCCCCCCCCCCCCGGGACTCTGTGTGAGCTGCAGTAACAGCCCCCCCCCCCCCCCCCGGGACTCTGTGTGAGCTGCAGTAACAGCCCCCCCCCCCCCCGGGACTCTGTGTGAGCTGCAGTAACAGCCCCCCCCCCGGGACTCTGTGTGAGCTGCAGTAACAGCCCCCCCCCCCGGGACTCTGTGTGAGCTGCAGTAACAGCCCCCCCCCCCCCCGGGACTCTGTGTGAGCTGCAGCAACAGCCCCCCCCCCCCCCGGGACTCTGTGTGAGCTGCAGTAACAGCCCCCCCCCCCCCCGGGACTCTGTGTGAGCTGCAGTAACAGCCCCCCCCCCCCGGGACTCTGTGTGAGCTGCAGTAACAGCCCCCCCCCCCCGGGACTCTGTGTGAGCTGCAGTAACAGCCCCCCCCCCCCCGGGACTCTGTGTGAGCTGCAGTAACAGCCCCCCCCCCCGGGACTCTGTGTGAGCTGCAGTAACAGCCCCCCCCCCCCCCCGGGACTCTGTGTGAGCTGCAGTAACAGCCCCCCCCCCCCCCCCGGGACTCTGTGTGAGCTGCAGTAACAGCCCCCCCCCCCCCCCCCGGGACTCTGTGTGAGCTGCAGTAACAGCCCCCCCCCCCCCCCCGGGACTCTGTGTGAGCTGCAGTAACAGCCCCCCCCCCCCCGGGACTCTGTGTGAGCTGCAGTAACAGCCCCCCCCCCGGGACTCTGTGTGAGCTGCAGTAACAGCCCCCCCCCCCCCCCCCGGGACTCTGTGTGAAATGATTACCTGAGATCTGAACTTTTAAAAACTTTCAGGATGTGTCTCTCGGCCGCGGGGAAAGTCAAACCGCCCGCTCCCCGGAGCACTTCCGGCGCCTCCGCTTCCCCCGGACAACGCAGGCCCCGGACAATCGTTCCCCCCCCCCGGCGGGACTGAGCGGGTGTTGCTATGGGAACGGCAGGTGGTGGGGGTTGGGGTGGGGGGTGGGGGGGGAGTGGCTGCTGGTGTTTCTCTGGAGGAGGGGACACCGCCCATTAGAATATTCCCCGCCTTTTTCCGGCAATGCCGAACCTTTGAACCCGTCGTAGCAACGTTTAAAAGTGCTTCACCCGGGACTTACCCCCGAACATGTAGTGACTGTGCGCGTGTGTCTGCGGTGTTTTGTGTGTGTGTGTGTGCGTGGTTTTTTTTGCTCTTGGCCCGAATCGTGTTCGATTTCGCCCCACAAATGAAGTCGGATTTATGTCAAGCCGGAGAGGGTGGGTGAGCGGTGGCGAAAAATCAGGGCGATGGAGGGGAGGGCTGGCGGGACGTGACGCGACGCGACGCAGTGCTGGTGGGTTCGCCCGAAGCTGTGGGAGAGAGACGTGGCACTTTTAATAATAATAATCCTTGCATTTGATATAGCGCTTTTCACGTCGGGAGGACGTCCCAAAGCGCTTCACAGAACACATTGAATCTTTTTGCATATGGAATCCTTAGAAGATTGCACGTGTGACCCAATACTCTAAGGATACTGCACGTATGATGCTATCCTGTGTGAAAGACATAATACATGCGTCTTACACATGGGATAGCGTCTTGGAGTGTTTATAGTGGTGAAGTCACTGGAGGCACGGTCAAAGAGAAGGGTCTTCAAGTGCGATCTGAATCAAGGATTTGGCCAATGTGAAGAAATTGAGGCAGAAAGTTCCAGAGGGTTTAGTGGCTAAATGCATGGCCACCAATGATGAAGTGGAGGTGTTGAGATACTTGCAAGAGGCCAGAGCCAGCTGAGTGAATGGGCCGGGGAGAGGAGTTGGATGTGAACAGGTCGGAGAGGTAGGGAGATGCTCAGGCATGAAGTACATATGTGAGGATCTTGAAATTGATCAAAGACCCACATGGACAAAGTCCCATATTAAATGCATGAATTATTATAATTGGCAAATGCTACAGCCCCGTGATCACCAGCCTCTTTGCTTTTATTATTTTCTCTCACTTTCCACGATATAGAAAGACTCCATCTCCAGGTGATAGAGAATCCTGAGGGACTGCTCTTGGGGATTTCCTAATTCCATCCTGTCAGCAGGTAATATAAGGTGAATGGATGCAATTGGGATTTGCTTGTTTAAATAAGAAGCTACAGTTCTATATAGGGCAGCACATTATCAGTGCTATGTCAATATTCAAGGTTTTATGACTACTGCCAGAAGCAATGCAAGTGTCATTATCTCCATTAAGATCAATGGAGTTTTGGCCGTCCCAGCCCCAATTCATAACGTATAAAAATCCTCTGTCATTGCTAATGAGATTCAAACATTCTTCTTTGTTTGTTGTCTCAGTGAATAGCTTTAGCATTGCATATCGTGGCACTTTTCGTGCTTGTGCATGTAAGACAATTTTTGCCCACAATAATTGACTCAATCACAATTAAAGATTTTGCTTTGTGCCATTTACAGTACAATTCCCAACCGCCAAGGGAAATATCCGATTGTGCAGTTGCTGCCACAAAGAGCAGAAGCAGATAACAGCAAATCGCATAACAATGGCAGTCAGTGTTCAGTGTACCATTAAAGGAGGAAAATTTGACCTTAAGATGCATGAAACGGGAACAAGAGAGCAAAAGCCTTGTCAGACATTGTTATTATCTGATGTCAACTTGACTCAGTGGTAACACTCTCGCCTTTGAGTCAGAAGGTTGTAGGTTCAGGCCCCATGTTGGGACTTTGAACACATAATAGACAGGTAGGCTGATGCTCCAATGCAACAACAATTTGCATTTATAGAACGCCCCTCACACAGGTTAGCGTTCCAGAGCAATTGACAGTGGCAGGATGGAGGTGCCATCCTTCGGTGCTGACCGAACTTCATAAATTAGGAACACAACACCTCTCTGTCTTTTAAGTCCTGCCTTAAAACCTGCCTCTTCGACTGCGCCTATGGGCACCTCCCCCTCCACTCCGTCCCCATCACTGGTAAAGCACTCCGTTATTCCATGTGAAAATCACTATATAAATGCCAGTGAGCATCTCAACTTTTGTACTCTCTTATGTACTTGACTTTGAATGCAGGTTAAATACTCTATTGATGAGGAGAAACTGAATATTGCACAGGAAGCCTTCAGAAATAAGATTTTTAAGAACTGCAGGAAAACAGCTTCCAAATTAACACTGGCTTTAAGAATTTTCTGTGAAATCTTAAGTTTTAAAACACTGAGTTAAGGCTAATAATGTGAGAAATTTCAGGTGTGTTTTGTTCAGTGCTAACAAGCTTTATTAGCTAGGCAGGTGTACATGAAGTTGTGTAAGGAGAATTTGGTTCTAAAGGTAAAACTTCTAGTTAATTACACTATTTTCACCTTCTTAGAAAATATCATACTATAGCTAAACAGTACCAGCTTCGAATATATAATTGCAGTAAATTATTCCAACATTTGTTTGGAATATTTTAAAAAGGAATGCTGGCAGGTGCAGCTGCTAGCTGTAGAAATAACAAATTAAGTGGTTCCACTGCTGTTGATAAATGGTGTGATTTTTGTCAAGTGGTAAAGTTACAAGGTTTTTCAAGGCAATATGGAATTTATGGAATAAATGCAGGTATTTTATTGGGTTTAAGGAACAATGAAAATGTTTCTTTACGTAGAGGGCTATGACCATGTGGAATGCACTGTCCTAGAAGGCAGCAGATGTACATACAGTTGGGACATTCAAAAGACAGGAAGATACATGGGAAGTAAGGGTATTTAGGGATATGGAGAAAGAGAGGAAATTATAATAAAATGTCTTGCATAATTTAACAAACTGGCTGAATGAACCCCTTCTGATCTTATTCAAAGTCCGTTTGAAGATTTACCTCTGTCTGCTGTTTTGGTCATGTTTCCCTTCCCCCTGACTCCCACACTCAGCTTGGGTGTCAAGCCAGCAATGTCGGCTTGGGACGTTCTCCTGACACGAAAGGCATTATATAAATGTAAATTTTTATTGTACTGTAGTGGATCCTCGGCAAACCTGTACCTCTTTGCTGTACTGGACTCTGCTCCATTTCGCTCTGGCTTTATCACATCATCACTATGTCCCAAATCACTTGGAGGATTTTGCTGTAAGGTGAAGTGACTGTATTTATAAGGCAAATGCTTCAGCCAATTTCTCACAGCAATGCCGCACAAATAACCATAAAGTGAATGACCAACTTTATCTGGGAGAATTGTTGACCCAGGACACCAAGAGAAACTCCTCCTTTTGAGAATTGAATATCTACTTCAACGGACAGACATGACTTCAGTTTAAAGTCTCATTTGAAGCATGGCACCTCTGACAATGACAATTTCAAGACTGAGGTAGACAGATAAGGGTATCAAGGGATATGGGGCAAGGGCGGGTAATTGGAGTTGAGGTACAGATCAGTCATGATCTTATAGAATAACGGAACAGGCTCGAATGGCTGAATGACCTACTCCTGTTCCTATTTTCCTAGGATTACCCCAAGACTGCATTAGAGTGTCAGCCTAATTCGCACTGTGGGCTTCAAACCCACAACCTTCAGAGTGCTACTGACTGAACTAAACTGACACTTATGAGTTATTACACATACAGAATAATTTACGGGAAATGGAGATTAGGGCTAACGTGTCTTCCTCCCTTTCCCTCTCCCTAAATAGATGCTGCTTTAGTATTACTAAATCATGGAAGGAATTGCACAAGAGCTAATCCCCTGCATGGACTGTATTTTTAATGTTTTTGATACAGATTATCTGTGGAAAGAGTAGAGAAGAGCCCACACCTCCTCACTGTCAGCTCCTTTATGGCATGTTTAGTATTCCAAACAGGTATTGCATTAAAAGAAATGGAAATTGAATTAGCTTGAGCTGGAGTGAGAGTAAGAAATGAGTTAAATATTGCTTCTTAATTCTAGAAATGATAGTCTATAAAACCAACTGTATGAAATTCAGAAAAACTGGATCAAACACGTAGATAGTAAAAAAAAATCATAAACGAGGATTCTGAAATATGAACAGGACACAGAGCTGATTGGATTACTGAAGCTAAAATGAATTCAAAAGCAACCAGAACTTCAGATAAGGGAGAAGGTTATGTGTGTACCCAAACATCGTTGTTGTAGATATGTGTTACAAGGTAATACATTTGTGCAGATTTAGCTCCTAATGTTTGGATCAATTTTATAACAAAATTTAACTAAAATATTTCTCTTGCTAATGACATGCAACTTCTGTCATTTAATTCTTTCTCTTTTCCCATTTTGTTAAAACCTAACCTGTCAGCTACCAGATCTGTTCACAGCCTTATTTACATCAGGTTCTAAAATGTGATATTTGCAAAAGGAAGCCTGAAAATGTTTCATTATCTTAGCCTCAAAACTGTGTCTTGTGATCATTGGGCAAGTCCTGTGGGAGACCTGTGGCTCAGTGGTTAGAGCACTCGCTTTGCAAGTGAGAGACCTGAGTTCAATTCCCGGCAGGGCGAAACCTTGGGCAAGTTTCCTTACTCCACACAGAGCCTAATAATAATCCCTCCAAAACAAAACAATAATAAATTGGTCATTTTCAATCTACGACTGTTTATGGGACATTGCTGTGCGCAATTGGCTGCCGCATTCGCCCACAAATATACAGTCAATTCACTTTACAGTGTGTTCTGTGAAGCGCTTTGGGACGTCCTCCCAACGTGAAAAGCGCTATATCAAATGCAAGGATTATTATTATTATTATTATTAAGTCCTAGCTGCACACACAGCAGGAAGTTTGTCAATGGCAATCTATGTAGCTTCAGCTGCTTAAACAACAACAACAACATGATATTTGTATAGCGCCTTTCATATCGGAAGGACATACCAAGGCGCTGGACAGTCAGTATTTTGGACCTGAGCTGGGGATCGGGATTGGG